CAGGGCAGAAATAGCGTCGGTAAGCTGCAATTCCCCTCCCGCCCCAGGAGTGATGGATTTTAGCTTTCTAAAAATTCGTGGGGTGAGGATGTATCTTCCAACAACGGCTTGATTTGAAGGTGCTTGGTTGGGTTCAGGTTTTTCAACAATGGCAAATACCTCAGAAAGTGAGTCGGTAATTTGGTTCGCTGAAATCATGCCATATTGTTTACTTTGTTCGATTGGCACTTCTTGTGTCGCCAAGACCGAAGCACCGCGGTTTTCGTAAATTTCCACCATTTGGGATAGCGCCCCTGGGGTCGCGTCGATTAAATCATCCGCTAATAACACCGCAAATGGCTCCTCACCAACAATTGCCTCGGCGCATAAGACCGCATGACCAAGACCGAGTGGGCGCGCTTGGCGGATATAGGTGAAATGAATATTATCGGGAACGACATTTCGGGCAATTTGTAACAGTGCTGTTTTGCCTGCGGCTTCTAGCTGTGCTTCGAGTTCGTAGGCGGTATCAAAATGATCCTCAATAGCACGCTTGGAGCGACCCGTAACAAAAATCATTTCGGTTATGCCCGCAGCAATAGCCTCCTCAACAGCGTATTGAATCAAAGGCTTATCGACAATAGGGAGCATTTCTTTCGGAGAGGCTTTGGTGGCCGGTAAAAAACGCGTACCCAGCCCCGCAACAGGAAAAACGGCTTTTCGAATTTTCTTCATATCGTTTTAAAATATTAGTATTTCTTCAATAATCGTTTCAACATTTTACCATAGTCCGATTTTAAGTAAGGCGCGATGAGTTGTTCAAACGCTTGAGCGGTGATGTATCCTCGCGTTAGGGCAATTTCTTCTGGGCTGGCAATCAGTTTTCCTTGACGATGTTGAATACTTTGGACAAATTGGTTGGCTTCCAATAAAGATTGATGCGTCCCAGTATCCAGCCAAGCATACCCGCGCCCCATGACCTGTACAGATAATTGGTTGTTTTTTAAATAAATATCGTTTAAATCCGTAATTTCTAGCTCGCCACGCGGAGAAGGTTTGATGGTTTTGGCGAATTCAACAGCGTTGCTATCGTAAAAATACAGACCCGTCACGGCATAATTGGACTTTGGTTGGGTGGGTTTTTCCTCTAAAGAAATGGCACGCCCGTCCTGTCCAAACTC